CGCAGCAGAGCGAGCAGCAGTAGCAGCAGCAGCAGCAACGCTCCGCTCCGCACACGGCACCGCATCGCATCGCGACAGACCAACCGCGTCGCACACCTCTCGCCCTTCCCGCAACGGCAAAGCAGACGCACGCGCCAAAGCTTTTTTGCAGGCGATCTCAAGCCCATATCGTGACACTCGAGTCAAAAGCCTATCAGAAAGCTTCGCCTCGACTTAGACCGGGAGCCGTTCCCCAAAATCCCCCCCAAAAGCCAATAAAAAATCCAGCCAACCAGGTACGTTTCGCATGCCATTCGACACAAGTCGTCTGGCGCCCCTCCTCTCCGCCTTGCCCGCTCGCGCGCTTCCTTGTCGCCGGTCCTGAACACGGGCGCCGTCACGTCTTCACTTTTGGCTTCCCGCTCCGTCATTTGCCCATCGTTGCACGCTACCTTGCCTCAGGGTCTGGCTTCTCTGTCGGGTTTGGCGCTTGGCACCCGTTGTGTCGGCACCAATCTCGACGTTGAACTTTGACGACACACCTTGCTGGTGGTAGCGTAGGCACCTGTCGGACTTCACTTTTTTGTTTTTATTTTCTTCTTTCCTCCGCTGTCTTACACGTCGCGTTCTGCGTCCTCTGAAACCGGCACCAAGAGCATGCTTACTGACTGGAGCAGGGCGCATAATCCCCTCCCTTACGGCATTTTACACGCACACATCGGCGATTCCACAAGCTCGCCCGCACTCTCACACTCTCGCCGCATTGCATCTCCAACTTCATCGGTACGTGTATTGTACTTTCTTGTGTGTCGCATTGTCACCGCCCTTCACAGCATCTGTACGGCCTCCCGTTCCCCCCGAGTTGTAACCATCCATCCTCGGTGCCCCCCCTCCTCCACTCCTTGTCCACGTCAACCTGTCTCTGTTTCTGCCCGTCACCTACGGTCATCGGCGACGGCGACACTCCGCCGATTTCACCATTTCGTCCTCTGACGTTACCTCCTGCTGCTGTCTGTCGCTGCCATTTTCCCATTGTATGTTGGCTGGATGCACGCCCGCATAACCAAGCCTTCTATGCCTTCTGGAAGCACCCCCTCTCTCGGTTGGCATGCGGGTGAGGCAAGGTGAGAATGATGCGGCGGCGGCAACACCACTGGAAGGGACCCCCTACCAACCACCCCAACTGCAGCCTCAGCGGGATGCACGTACGTTCTTGGGGAAGCGCTTAGTGAGCCCAGTCTGGAGTCTGGCGGGTGGCAGCGACACCAGACACTCAGGACAGCGCCTGGACAAACACGCCCTTCCCCTCAAGAGGCGCAAAGCACGGGCACCGTCACAGCAGCTTGGACTGCGTTCTGGCTTCGCGCCGCCACCACTACCGCAGCAGTGGGAGGTGTTGCCGGGCTGGTTGGCATGGTGGGCCTTGTCTCTGCATATTCCGTCATGCATGTGAGGTCTGCCAGCGCATCAAGTGGTGGCCCGAGGCGCGAGCAGAAGAACTGGACAGGAGCCAGGAGCAGCACCCCACCAATCTCTTGTCGCATCATTCCGAGCATTGGCTCAAATATCCTGGAGAGGACAGAAGCAGCTAACATTCATGGTTGGACAGATCTCACTCGTGAAGTGGAATAAAATCAAACGGCCTCTTTTTCTGGGGAAACAAGGCACCGACCGTTGTGTTTCGTCCAAAACTACCCGCTTCCCGCATTGCAGCTGGTAGGCCAAAATCGACCAAGACCAGGACCAGCTTCTTGTCAATCCGGACTGGACCACTTCAGAGAACCCTTAAACGGGTAGCGACAATAACACATCCCGCCCGCCGCCTCGACTCTCCGCCTCGTCTTGCACGGCGGCAGCACCCTTCGTCACTCACGTGGCTGTCATTCTCACTCCAGGCTCAGCCACCCACCCAGCGTCCGCCCCGCGACTACATCAGCCTGCATATGCCGTGGTCGGCCACTTGCGTCGCGCACCACTGCCAGCTCATCCACGCATCGCCAATAGATTGAGCCCCTCCTCTCCCAGCACACTGGCAGAGTACCCTAGGCCACCGCCCGCTCCCAACGCGTGTGCCCAACTCTACCCAAGCAGACGGGCCATTTCCAGCATTTTAAGGCTCAATTTTCATCAAAAAGGCAGCTTTCGTCGCAACTCATTCGTCGCTCGCGACCCATACCCGTGAAACCAATTTTCTCGACCGCGGTCACGCTATTACAACCACTACGCCAGAAACTATCGCCAAGCTAGATCCTCCTGCTCGGCTTCTCATTGGTCCTGAGCACATCGCGACGAAGACAACCAGCTTCATCGCAGCTCGACCACTCTCGGAACAGGCTTATTCCCAGTATGATGGAATACGCGCAATACCCACAACAACCACAGAACGCGCACTCGGGATACACGAACAACTCCACCTCCGGCAACATCACCTCTCCTCACGGCGTACAGACGTCACCTATTTTGTCTACCCAGCAACAGTCACCCACCCAAGCACAGGGACACAACATGTACCAGCCACAGTACAACGTCCCTCAGCAGGGCATGCACTATGCCATGCCCCAGATCCAGGCCGCCGCCATGGCGGCGACCGCAGCGGCATCGGGAACGAACTACACCTACAACATGTCGGATCCTAGCTTGCCCCAAACCTCACCACGGATGGGCGGACCGAAGAAGGAGGCCAACCGCGACCCCAGATCACCGACCCAGATGAACAACGTTTCGCAGCTGCCCGGTGGTCAGCGACGCCTCAGCCAGGTCACCAGCCCCGGCGTCCCGGCACAGGGAATGATGAACCACGTCGGCGCGCGCCCCGGCGTTGCCCCACCGCAGATGTCCCAGGCCCAGGCCATGCAGCACCCGCAGTCCCCCGAGATGCCCGCTGGCGGCGTTGAGGAATCTCCCCTCTACGTCAACGCTAAGCAATTCCACCGCATCCTGAAGCGTCGCGTTGCACGCCAAAAGCTCGAGGAGCAGCTCAGGCTCACCAGTAAGGGTCGTAAGCCGTATCTCCACGAGTCGAGACACAACCACGCCATGCGCAGACCCCGTGGACCCGGAGGACGTTTCCTGACAGCCGAGGAGGTCGCCGCCATCGAGCGTGACAAGGCCACTGGCACCGATGCGCCCAAGGACGACTCTAGCCCCAAGGCCGGGTCGAAGAGGAAGTCCGAAGCCGACGACGGTGGCTCCAACAAGAAGCCCAAGACGGCATCTGAGAGTCCCGAAGAGGAAGATGAGGAGGAGGAGGAGTCTTGAGCTCCGCCGCCGCCAATTCGATCTTCTTTTGTCGAGCATTCCGATCACGAAGTCACGACAGCCTACAGATACGTCTTGCAGCCATCTCTACTCTTTCCGAAATTGGATTATAATGGCGGCGGGAGTCCGATGGAAGACGGTTCCGCGGTGTGTTTACAAGGGGTTGGAGTGTTTCATGGACGTCTTTAAATGCAGCATTCGGGCCGGTACACAGGACTCTCGTTGCCCTCTGGCTGCCAGGCCTGGTCGATGCCATTGCGGCATGGGCCATTCTCTTTTAACACCTTTTTTCATGTTTCGTTTTCTCGGCTAATACAAATACTCGACTGGCAACAGCATGGCACCCGTTCAGGCGGGTGGCCGCAAGGGAAATGGGAGGGAAGAATGCATGGACGACTCGAAACGACGGATACCCCTCTTGTGTTTACTCGATTACCCCCTTCTCCTTGTTGTTTTTGATTGTTTTCTTTCTTCACTTCATGTCACAATCTTTTGTTGGGATGGGGACTTTTGTTCACTTTCTCTGGGGATGATGGTTGCAGGGGCAAATGAATGGTCTGGTTACCAAACGGATGGAGTTGAAATGAAGAGAAAAGAAAAACCAAAACGAAAAATGAAGCGCCAGCATTGGCGCATCTGATGTACGGGACAAAGAAGAATGATTGAAGATTATATTTTTACGCCTTCTCAAACTATTACCCCTTTTTTCTTCTCAACCTTACGCTTCTATGGATTGATGGGGATAGACTGAGGTTTTCTGGCAATCCGTCGCCGGAATCGGAATTGGGAGAGAAACACGGGCTTTACGACTATTTGATCTTTGCGAGCAATCTACAAACTATATTGAATTACTTACATGTCAGATTCCACCTTGTTCGGTGTGAACCTTTGCGGAGCGAATGACGCACATGTTCCCCCCAGTGAATGCATTGTCGTCGCGAAAAGGGACGGCCCGTAAGGTCTGTCCTCGTGGACGCGACAACCAATCGACGCCGCGGGCCTGACTCAAAAGGTCGACAAACGGCCAGCGGCATTGGCTTGAGGCTGGACCACGAGCGTTGCCGCAAGGGACCGGGGACCAGCAGGAGGAGGCTTTTTCTGGGTCGTCGAATGATTGCTCATGAAGGCGCTGGGCTCGGTCGGGTACGGCTATCGAGACCCGCCTCCGCACTCGTGGCTCGTCCTCGTCGTCGACCAGTCCCGTTGACTTGCTGGCGGTCGGTCAGCACCAGTCAGTGGTCGGTGTGCGGTGTGTGGGCTTGGGCGCCCCCCTCTCCCCTCCCTTCCCAAACCTGGGGGAAGCTTGCCTGCTGCGGCCCTGGCAGTGGTCAGTGGTGCCCTCCCCCGCTCTCCAGCTTAGCGCGGTGGGAGCTCCAGGCCGGTGGACCTCGGCATGTCTCTGGACCTGGGAAATCCGACCCGCGGCGCGTCCGACCGACCCTTTTCGCATAAGCAAAGGCACGCTAGAGGTGTCTGTCACTGTATTTTGCTGGGCAGGAGCCGAGGCTGGATACGCAAAACGGCCGGCAAAGGGGGGACCAGGGGAAAAAAGAAGGTTCCCAGTATCCGGGATTCGTGTCCGAACAGCCATCCGATTGAACTTCTGGGGTTTGTTACATTAAGCAGCGACATCGCCCTGTCTTCAACTTTTGGTGCCTGCTTACCTACGACGAATTGCGAAGACAGTTACCGAGTGAGCAGCAGTGACGACACCGGCCCAACTAGCAGCTCCCAGGAAGCTCCATACGCAGACGGTCGACGAGATGGCGGGACGCGTGAGGCATCCGATTGACCAGGCGGCGCTGGAGCGGTACATTGAGAAGAATGTCCCGGAGATCAAGACGCCGATTGAGATTAAGCAGGTATGTCAATTGTGTTCCTCTCGAGGCCATTCCCAATCCTCGAGCACCACCTCCCTCCCCCGCTGACCCTCCACCGTAACCACAGTTCGGCTTCGGCCAGTCCAACCCGACGTACCAACTCACCTCCGCGACCTCGACGCGCTACGTCCTGCGCAAGAAGCCGCCCGGCAAGCTGCTCTCCAAGGCGGCGCACAAGGTCGAGCGCGAGCACCGCATCATCCACGCCCTCGAGCCGACGGACGTGCCCGTCCCGCGCGCGCTGTGCCTGTGCGAGGACGACGCCGTCGTCGGCACGCCGTTCTACATCATGGAGTTCCTCGACGGGCGCATCTTCGAGGACGCGGCGATGCCGGAGGTCGCGGACCCGGAGGAGCGCAAGGCGCTGTGGCGCGCGGCGACGCAGACGCTTGCGAGGCTGCACCGCGTGGACCCGGGCAGCGTCGGGCTGGAGGGGTACGGGAAGCGGGACGGGTTTTACGATCGGCAGATTGCGACGTGGACTACGATTTGCGAGAGCCAGGCGGCGGCGGAGGATCGGGAGACTGGAGAGAAGGTGGGGGATTTGCCGCATTTTGGGGAGATGATTGGGTTTTTTAAGGATAAGGCGGCGCAGCCGAGGGATCGGGGCACGTTGATCCATGGGGATTTCAAGATTGATAATATCGTGTTTCACAAGACGGAGGCGAGGGTGATTGGGGTTCTCGAGTAAGTTGCCTTGGACAGTCCTCACGGGGGCAAAGCTAACAGAAAGGCAACGCAGCTGGGAGATGTCAACAGTAGGTCACCCGCTCTCGGACCTCTGCAACTTCCTGACGCCGTACTTCACGGCCTCGCGCGGCAACTCGGGCGTGTACGCGCACGAGGGGTTCCTCGCGGGCGCGACGCCGGGCCTGCCGAGCGTGGACGAGATCGTGGGATGGTACCGCGCCGAGGCCGGGTGGGACCCGGCGCCGGAGCTCAACTGGGGCATGGCGTTCAACGTGTTCCGGCTGTCGGCGGTGCTGCAGGGCATCGCGGCGCGGGCGGCGCAGGGGCAGGCGAGCAGCGAGCAGGCGAAACGGTACGCGGTCACGAGGGGCCCGCTGGCGGAGTTTGCGTGGGAGCTGGTGGGGAGGAGTATGGAGCAGGGCAAGGGGAGGGCGAAGTTGTAGTAGACATTGGGTAGCGGGATGAGTTTGCATAGAAATTTGACTCTTTCTTAGACCATTGCTGGAGAGTGGCTTCTGGTAACGGGCTGCCCATCCCTTTCCGTGAGAAGTGCTATGGGGCGGCGTCTTTCATTACTGTAAGTAAGACTTGTTCAAGACAGGACGGTCTTTTCAGGCGCCAAATTTGTTGTTCGGTAAATCTGAGACGATGAACATTACGGTTGACGAGACGCGGGTTGTCAGCAGGCACATGGGACACTGTCTGAGTAGTCGTGAACGCTTCAACTCGCCGCTCGAGCGCTGTCATCGTTGGCTGTACTTCGAGTATTCAATGACAATAAGCGAGAAGCATTCAGCTTTGGCCCTGAAACGAGGGAGACGTTTCTTGGGTAGTGTTGTCAGGAGGGCTTGGGATAGGTGGCATGGCTCTGTCTTACTTGCCTTTGAAGACCCCCATTGTCTGGTATAACACTAATCACGGCTTGTTCATCTACTATATAACCTGGACATCAGAACATTTCACGCTTTGCGTCTCCACGTGTGTTAGGCATGTTGCGGTTTAGTTCAACCCTGTCGGGGTTGAGGTTCGGGCGCTTCATGCTGTTGTTCTCAGCCCTCTCTCCAGGAGCGGATCTTCTCTGGTGAGTGCGTTTCTATTTAAGGCTAGGTTTAATGGTAGCAGATACATCTCAGCAATGGCATCTGTCTCAGCAAGATGGCTGCTATGGAGCCTCTCGCTGTTCTGAACTATTCTTCACGAAGCATGAGCCCGCCGACCAATATTTGCATCCCGATGGGTAAGGGGTGGTACGTAGCATCTCGTTGGTTCCGAGTCCCGCCAACTCTCTTGTTAATAACTGTCTGATGGTTATTCTGACTGAATAAGTAAAGGATGAAACTGAGAAGAATGCGAGCCGTGTGCTCTGGCCCGCGCCGGCCGCCATATTGAAGTGCAGCGAAGCTGGATCAACCGCCTTCAGCTTCCCAAATCTCAATATACTGTGGTTCGATGAGACAGCATTGATAATCCGAAGTGTTTCGAGGGATCGTTTTCATTTTATATGGCTAAGAAGACAGGATCGAGGCATCAGAACCATGTCGGCGTCTTTGTTGGATAGACGGTGGGCCGCGTCAAGCGGCGTCTAAGGACTCGAACTTCCTGGAGATACAGCCATTGGCATGCATGCGGTCTGGACTTGCTCCGAAGTATATAAAGTGCCTGTGGAAAGGACCTGAGGTTTATAGCGCAAACCCGAATTACCGTGCACTTCTGGTCTTGATGGTTCGAAGTTCTGACCTCCTGGGCATTGATCATCCGCTTCGCTTGGTCGCTACTGACGGGATCTCAAGTGAGTCTACCTGAAAAATTCGATGTACATCCTGATTGTGTATTGGGTCAATCATAGGACGACAGAAAAGGAGGGGGACATTGCAGATACACCTTGAATTCGAACGACCGCCGTCTGAAGCGCGCTTCAACGAATGATGAGGCAGAAGATGATCGTTCAAATCTCTGGTCAAGCTTCATCAAATGTGTGTTGACGTATGATTTGTGGCTGCACTCCGAATTAGACTTTTGTCTCAATATATACTTGCCCCAGTGCAGGCATTCGACGATGGGTACCATAGTGGTGCCCCCGCGAGGCTTGTTGATGAATATAAGAGCGAAAGTCTGTAAGATATATTCAGTACCATATAAGGACCAAGTCAGATGTCATTTGAGGCAGAGAGTAATCCGTTCCGCTACTCATTTTCTTGAAGGTTATTGACACTGTCTCCGGCCTACCTCCACACTAGATGAGGCTCAGAGAAGGTTAGGTTACGACAATGTACGATGTGCTTTGTATCTCTTCAGTCAGTCTCTCTCCCGCTTCTTTGCTTCGTATTCCGAGGGAATATGTCAAAGACGTCTTGTCAACGTACAGGCGCATCAAGCTTGCGGGGCTGGATTTCTGGGGCATGGTCTGCTAAACTCGTCATAGACCTCTAAATGTCGGCGGTCTGATGATGAGTCACAGGCTCAGGATACGCGGTCTATGAAATCTCCTGGTACTTAAGCCCGTCTTCAGGAGTTCGACAAGCGAAGACAAGCAAATTGAAAGTTCGGAATTTTCCAGCTTGTCGATGAGTCGCGCTGTGCACTCGTCCGTCTGATATCTGAACAATGCATTTACGAATCCCAGGCGCATAAGGAAACCTCGCTCATGTCTGAAAATTTGGTCGTCTTTCTTTACCTACCCCGCCTCCGAATACTCAACAGTTTTTGCTGGCGTGCGCGACAACAAGAGCGGCCGCATTCAATTTTGAGGGCAGAAAACCTGGGCACATTGATTACGACGAAAGAGGTAGGATACCGCATTCAGCTGCAAACGAAGAAATATCAACATATTGTCTGGTGTTGGGTATAACGGAGCAGTCTATCTGGGAGGATTCTATTCAAGGGGCAAGGACTCTATGGCCGTCTGGTCGTCGCTGTAGCCCAGCTCGTCGTCTCTCAGCTATGTTTCCTCGGCATTGCCTCTGGACAATCACGAATTTGGTGGTCGGCACACGTAACAGCTGTTTTCTTCCGCCGAGTTTCATTCTTAGAATGCTTGGACTGGATGTTTGCGGGACTAAAAGCTTGGGCTAAAACTACGTAAAACGTTCTCCTCGCTTTAGGCTCGAGATTGACAGAAAAGCCGGTGTAAGTGGCATATCGAACTGTGCCTTTGGCTTATACCAAGCCTCCTTGGTGATGGTCTTTTATTGTTATTAGTTGTCTGGATGATTCAGAGTGATTGAAAGAGTCAATTGTACTGACTATTCCTCAAGTGTTGCCACATATCCAGACGAAGGTGACCACGGAGAACAAAGGGAATGAAACATTCTTCGAAAGTGAAGCAAGACAGCTAGCATGAGGTCGTCATTACTCGCGATAATGGTCACAGGTAGGCCAGGTAGATTCGTCACCCATCTTGATTTCGCTGTGAGTCATGTCAGTACTAGTGCGTCTCGCTTTTAAATATGTAAGTGTATGAGAGGTACGACTTTAATGTATCTCATGTTCTGTTGTGATATCTCGGACTCGGTAACGCCTGTTTAGTAGACACACGCGGAACGCCCACTTCATAGAGCAATGCGAGCCCGTACGCAACTGACGTTATGCCTGTCTTTATGAGGTATATAAGAAGTGTACATGTTTGATCACTTTTTGAAAAGGGCAATCCACGCGCAGAAGCACATCAGAGGCCTAAGAGTACACTTATAGAAATGTGCCCCATTCTTCTCAGGATTCTTATGTCTATTCCGTAGCCGCACAAGTCTTCTTACAAAGTGTTTTGTTGGCTCCATCACCAGGGGCTGTTGTCGAGATTTAGGGCACAAATAAGATGACGATACGGCGAAGATCGCCAGCCTTCAGCAAACAAAACTACCATGTTTGCTTTCTATCACATTCAAAGGAATTTTCTAGCTTAAAGCAGAGTGCAGGGTGGAGCAGTAGGATCCAAACATTCTTCACCTCAGGTCTTCCTATTGTTGAAACGCTCTAGCTACTAGATTTCTTATATCGTAACTATCCCACCAGTCCCTTAGATGGTACGCATGCATCTTCTTTACTTGCAATGATGTAACGTACTACAGAAACGCTTGGTTTCAATGCAACAAGCACGAACTTTGGTACAGAAATCGATCCCACAAGCAAACCTTCGTATTTAAAGTATTAATCTAACCTGCCAACAGGTCGCAGTTGATGGATTGTCACCCCCCCTAGCTAGATCAACTTGATGCAGTCTTCAATCAACAACTGCCTGATATTCTCCACTACATATTATACATATGCGCAGAATACTTCACGGAAACCGAGGAGGGACCGCTCAAATGATGTTCTAATACTTCATTTGAAATGACTAAGCAGGCAGTTGAGTTTCTCCAAAGTCTACCCAACGAAAAGATCGCTTAAATAAAGTATTAAACGGCGAAAAGGCCACTTCAAGGTATATTAGTGATAGGCTGTTAAGAGCAGGCATTGAAATGTTTGTAGCTACTGAATAGGCTCTTATGTCATGCATGTTCTCAATTAGTATCTGCTAGCATTTGTGATGTCAGGTTGCCTGCTACAGAACTGAGGCCTGAGCTGGGTATTAAAAGCGGAATTATTCCTTCCTTCAGGGGCTCAAGCCCCCCAATAATGGCTTTAGATCTTCTCTTTGTCGCGAAATTAAGCAATAAGTATCCATTCCCCCGTAAACCGAACGTTTGGGGCTGGGCACTGATGGAGTCTTTAAGTTGAACCTCCCGTCTGGCAGATATTGCCATGGGAATACTTCGCAAAAAATAACGAGAAGTGATGCAAGTGGACTGTATTGGGGTAGAAGTTGGGTCTGGAACGTTGCCTTACATAGAACAATGCCGTTCCTCGCATGAAGGATGCCGCACTTAGTTTGGCGAAGGCTTGCAAGTTATGTTGACGGCATGCTAAGCTGGACTTGTAGTAAACGGCCCCAGAAGTTTTGGAGGGGAAAAAGAATACGTCATGATTCAAAATGGGCGAATTAATCTCGACAACTGGGTATTAAGTCCTCATATCATCCGCGGTGCCGTGTGGAATATCTAAATGGACCTAGCAAATTGCTACTTCCCGATCTGCTTTCTGAAGACTGATGCCACGGTGATATGGTTCTGAATACACATAGATAATATGTTGTAATGAAATGTGCTACTCATTCGCTTTCTTGTTACAGAAATGTCCTAATCGGTTGGAAAGGACGACGCTGGCCGCTGATTTAGAATAATGAAGTCGACTGTGGCGGGGCGGAGAGATTGTACCGACGGGCGGTCACGCCTGAGATTCTTGACAATAGGACATAAAGACAGGAGCAATTCGAGTTCGGAATTGTCTAGCGATTTTACATATCGACAGATGGATAGTAAGTGCTGGAATTTATATCAAAACCAGGTGCACACTCTACGTAGAAAGCAGGCTCAATAAGACGACAGAAGGTTTTGAAATTCGCAAATGTCAGAGGTAATACATTGACCCCA